CAGCATGGGTAAAAACATAGGATCCAACTATATGCTGTCTAGAAGAGACTCACTTTAGATCTAAAGACACAATCAGGTTGAAAATGAAAGGGTGAAAAAAGATATTTCATGCAAATAGTAATCAAAAGAGAGCAGGTGTGGCTATGCCAATATCAGACAAAATTAACTTGAGATAAAAAAGATTATAAGTTAAAATAAGACATTATATATTAACAAAAGATTCAGTGCAGCAAGAAAATAAAATATTTATAAATACTTACGTACCTAATGACAGACCATCTATAATAATAAAAGTGTAATATGCTAATTAGACCGGACAGCTGAACGACCTTCGGATGTCATTCCGGATGTCATTCTGGACAAAGCCACAGCGTCGGGGGCCAAAGCAGAGGCAGTTAGGGGCGATCAGGCAGGCAGGCGAGCAGTTAGGGGTGATCAAGCAGGCAGGTGAGTGGCTAGGGGCGATCAGGCAGGCAGACAAGCAGGGGAGATCAGGCAGGTGAGTAGTTAGGGGTCAGGCAGGCAGGCGAGTGGTTAGGAGCCAGTCATCCCAGATTGCAAGAGGGTGCAGGCCGGGCTGAGGGACCTCCTGCCCCCCAACTCCATGCACAAATTTCATGCAACAGGCCTCTAGTTAAAATATATAAAGCAAAAACTGACATAATTGAAGGGAGAAATGGATAGTGCTACAACAGTAGTTGGAGACTTCAGATAGCCCACTTATAGTAATGGATAGAACAACCAGATAGAGGATAAGTAAAGAAATAGGGAACTTAAACAATACAATAAACTGCTTAGATCTAAATGACATACAGAACACTTTACTCAACAAGCACAGAATACACACTCTTCTCAAGTGCACATGGGATATTTCAAGTACAGACCATATGTTGGGCCACATATTAAGTCTTAATACATTTAAAAAGATAACTTACAAAGTGTCTTCTACAAATACAGTGTCATGAAGTTAGAAATCAATAACAATAGAAAACTGAAAAATTCACAAAATTATGGAAATTAAACAACACACTTTTAAACAAATGGCTTAAAGAAGAAATCACAAGGAAGGTTATAAAATGGAAACACAACATACCAAAACTTAGGAGATGTAGCAAAAGTGGTGCTAAGGGGGACATTGATAGCTCAAAATGCTAACATTAAGAAACAAGAAAGATCTCAAATCAACAATCTAAGTTTTCAACTTAAGGATGTAGAAAACGAAGAACATGCCCTAGCTGGTTTGGCTCAGTAGATAGAGCGACGGCCTGCAGGCCGAAGGGTCCCGGGTTCAATTCCAGTCAAGGGCACATACCTCTGTTGCAGGCTCCTCCCTAGTCTGAGCTCTGGTCAGGGCGCATGCAGGAGGCAACCAATTGATGTGTTTCTCTCATATCGATATTTCTCTCTTTTCCCTCTGTCTTTCACTCTCTTCAATGGAAAAATGTCCTCGGGTGAGGATTAAAAAGAAAAAGAAGAACAAACAAACGTAAAGGTCGCATAAAAGGCAACCAAATTGGAAAGGAAGAAGCAAAAGAATCTTTTTTGCAGATTATATGATTTTATATGTAGAAAACCTTATAGGTTCCACAAGAAAAATAACTTAGAATAAATGAATCCAGTGAAGTAGAAGGACACAAACTCAGTGTACAAAAATCAGCTGCATTTTTATAGACAACAATCTGAAAAGTAAATTACACATCAATTCCATTACGATAGCATCAAAAGGAATAACATACTTAGAAATTAACTTAAGTATTAAAAGACTTGTACAATGAAACTACAAAACATTGCTGAAAAAAATTAAAGAAGACAGGCGATGCAGCCGGGATGGTAGCTGCGGTGCAGACCGGAGGAGCCATCTTGTCTTGTGGCTGGGGAGTCAGGGCCCTAATTCCAAGAAGCCCTGGCGCGCCCTGCCCCCTCCCCAGTCTGACAAGAGAGGACCACTAAGCAAGCAATGCCTCTAGGCCATTGCCGGGAATTTGAAGACCTGAGTTTCTGCCAGACCTCAGTGCAAACTCTGATGACACTGCATCCAAAGTGAACTACGATAGCAAGCCCCTCTTCGAATTTTTGCCCACACATACTACCACATATGATGAAGCTTTTAAAAGAAAAGAGGAATTTAGAGAGCAGGCTATCTCAGAATAAGCATTCACCTACAGATTTGGTACCTGGATTTCTGTCCATGGTGATTTCTATCACCTTACTACTGAAGAAGATACCATCCCAGTAGACCACTATGACCCAAGGGACATTCAACCATCATGATGTGGTCTTCACCTCCATTCCTGTCCTTCTCTACCCAGATTGAGCACCATCCTTTATGTGAAGTCAAACTCCTCAAGCCAAATAGCTGAAACGATTTAATCACACACACACACACACACACACACACACACACACACACACACACACGACCAATAAATGAAAAACATTCTATGTTCATGGATTGAAAGACTTAATATTATTAAAATGTCAATATTGGCCGGCCCCCGTGGCTCAGTGGTTGAGCGTCAACTATGAACCCGGAAGTCACGGTTCTTTGATTCCTGGTCAGGGCACATACCCCTGTTGGGGGCTTGATCCCCAGTGGGGGGCATGCAGTAGGAATGGGAAACACAGAACAATGATTCTCTCTCACCATTGATGTTTCTATCTCCCTCCCCCTTCCTCTCTGAAATAATATATCTATATCTATATCTATCTATCTATCTATCTATCTATCTATCTATCTATCTATATTTAAGAATGTCACTATTACTCAAAGAAATATATGGATTCAGTGCAATTGTCCTATAAAAATGTCAACGCTATCTTTTTTTGCAGAAATTGAAAAACCCATCCTAAAAGTCATATGGAATTTCAAGAGACTCCAAATAGCCAAAACAACCTTGAAAACTTGGAGGTTTCACGCTTTCTGATTTCAAAACTTATTACAGATTTACAGTAACCAAAACAGTGTGGTATTGGCATAAAGATAAACATATATAACAACGAAATAGAATAGAGAGCTCAGAAATAAACTCTCACAGATATGCTCAAATCATTTTTTATAAGGGTGCCAAGATCATTCAGTGGGGGAAAGGACAATCTTTTCAACAAGTGGTGCTAGGATAACTGGATATCCACATGCAAAAGAATGAAGTTGGACCCATACTTAACACCAGATTTTAAAAATTACCTCAAATTGAGTCAAAAACCTAAATGTGAGTCCTAAAAAGATACAGGACAAAATTTCATGACATTAAATTTGGCAATAAATTATTGGATATGATACCAAAGACACAGGATAACAAAGGAAAAAAATAGAGAAGTTACACTTAATGAAACTTTTAAAAAAATTGTGCACCAGCCCAGTTTGTGTGGCTCAGTGGTTGAGCATCAACCCATGAGCCAGGAGGTCAAAGTTTGATTCCCCGGGTTACAGGCTTGATCCCCACTAAGGGGCATGCATGAGGCAGCTGATTGATGATTCTCTGGCATCATTATGTTTCTCTTTCTCTCCCTTCCTCTCTTTAAAATCAATTAAAAAAACATTATAAACTTTTTTTTTGCATCAAAAGACACTATTCACAGAGTAAAAAAGCAATCCGCAGAATGGGAGAAAATATTTGCCAGTCATATAGCTGATAAGGGATTAATATCCAGAATATGTATAGAGAAATCCTAAAACTCAACCGCAAATAAACAACCTGATTTTAAAAACGGGCAAAGGACTTGAATAGATATTTCTCCAAAAAAGATCTACAAACGGCCATGAAGCACATGAAAATATGCTCAATATCACTAACTGTTAGGGAAATGAAAACTCATACCCCCACATACACATTAGGAGGGCTTCTATAAAAACAACAACACAAAAAACAAGTTTGGGTAAGGATGTGGACAGATTGGAACCCTTGTGTACTTTTGGTGGGACTGTAAAACAGTACAGTAACTGTGGAAACTGGTGGTTCCTCAAAGTTAAAAATAGAATTACCCTATGACCTAGTGATTCCACTTCTGAGAATATATACAAAAGAACTGAAAGCAGTTTTCAAAGAGATATTTTAAACTCGTGTTCATATATTATTCACAAAAAGTAAAACATGGAAGCAGCCTAGGTGTCCATCAGTGGATGGATAAGCAATATGTGGTATATGCATACAATGGAATATTAGTCATAACAAAAAGGAAATTCTAACATGCTACAACATGGATTAACTTTGAGGACATTGTACTAAATGAAATGTCAGTCATAAAAAAGACAAATGCTTTGTAATTCCACTTATAGGAGGTACTTAGAGTGGTCAAATACATAGGAACAGGAAGTACCCTCATGGTTGCCAGGGGAAGAGGAGGATGGCGAGTAGTTGTTTAGTGAGTATAGAAGTTATGGAGATGGGTGGTAGTGATATGTTTTTAATACCACTGGACTGTGCATTTAAAAATGGTTATGAAGGTAAATTTTATGTAATGTGTATATTACCACAATTTTAAAAAGACTTAAAAGAATACTCTGCCATTGCTTTTGAAAACTTAGATAAAATGGACAATTTCTTAGAGAAATAAAAATGGAAAAAATCTAATGAAATGGAACGGGAGCCTATGGAGTAAAAGAGACTTAAGGGACATTAACTAATTTCAATGTGTGAGCCTTACAAGCAAACTGTAAAGAAAATGCTATTGAGAGACATGAGGTTGAATAAAAGAAAAGAAGTACCATGTTCTTAGACAGGCATGCTCAACATTATAAAGATGTCATTTCCACTAAACTTATCTGTAAGTTTAATGTGATTTATAGAATCTGCTATATATATAACTTTTAAAAAAAAATTACAGAGTTGTCACAGAAAAAAATCGCTAAGGTGGTCTAGTGTTTTCCACCAATAATGGTGCCTTCTTGGGTGTCACATTCATTTCTCTTAAATTTCTTTGATAATGCACTGTTTATTGCATCTCAGTTATCTGATAGATGAGCTAGACGTGTTCTCATTTCTTTGTTTTGATTTTCCTAGTAACTATGACTGAAGTTTTACCAAAGGAAAAGAAGCAGAAAGATGAGAAGACCTTAGTCCTTGGTCAAGCTGTGGTGGACCTTCTTCCTTTAGTGGAAGGTGAGATTTGCTCAAAAGCAGATATAACAAGCTTCATAAAATTTAACTCCAGTGAAATGAAAAAAAAATCAGCCTCATTGAATTTGAGGGATTTGATGAAAAGATGAGCACATTTATCTTTGCCTAGCCCTTCCTTTTTTGGCTTGACTTGGTCTTCTTTTTACAGGAGAGAGTTCATTTGGAACAATCGTCCCACTGCACCCTGTTCCAGGCTCTCCCTTAGAGCCTCTTCAACCAGGCGTTAAGGTAATCAGAGTTTTAACTATCAACATTTCAGCCTGCCATTCAGTCTAACAAATCTGTCTGGTATTAAGGTGCAATTCCATTGAGTCCAAGTTATCAGGCACCTTCTTTTTACAGGCACACATAGTGCTAGGTTCTGGGAAACAAAGATAAATAAGGCGGAGTCCTAGTTTAGGAGTCCATAATCTACATATTATTGATTTTAACCCAGTGTGATTAAGTGGTGGGCCAAGGCACCTGGGCACACAATAGGTATCAGTTACTTTGCCCAGAGGTAGCTGTAGGGGAGGCTTAACCATGGAAATGCCTCTTGAGCTATGTCTGATGGATTAAATAGTACATGAATGCAGGTAACATACTTTCTGGCATGGTAGCCTGCCTCTGGTTGTTGGAGTAGGGGAAGAAGCATGGATTGGTGGGATGTGTCACTGGTTTGTCTGGACTGTGTTTCCCATTCCCCCAGGGGATCAGTAGCCTCTGGGGGCACTGTTTGCCATTCTGGTGCTGGTGCACTCACTCTCAGCAGATACTACAGCTGCCTTCTGTTTTGACAACTAAAGGAGAAAGGAGGGCCCAACTGATCCAACTGTTCTGACTGCAGTTCTCTAATTAACCATCACTATAGGCCCCTTTCTGCTGCTTGTTGATTCTGACCTTGGAGCTGCCACAATCCACTCCTTCATCTGCTGTGGTCTTCTTATTTTAGGATGTGTTCGGTTTTCTCTCTCTCTCTCTCTCTCTCTCTCTCTCTCTCTCTCTCTCTCTCTTTGTGTTTGTTTTTAGATCTGATTTAATTTGATTTCTAAATATCTTTCAATGATTCCTAAAAACATATAGTTTAGTGATGGCATTTCTTTTTTTAAATATATTTTTATTGATTTCAGAAAGGAAGGGAGAAGGAGAGAGAGATAGAAACATCAATGATGAGAGAGAATCATTGATTGGCTGCCTCCTGCACGTCCCCCACTGGGGATCGAGCCTACAACCTGGGCATGTGCCCTTGACTGAAATAGAGCCCAGGACCCTTCAGTCCGCAGGCTGACGCTTTATCCACTAGGCCAAACCAGCTAGGGCTGATGGCATTTCTTGTTTTCTGGAGTTATTATAACATTATCTTTTAATTGGATATCCTATATAATAAAAGCCTAATATGCAAAACAAAAGGGCACTATGATGTGCACTGACCACCAGGGGGCAGATGCTCATTGCAGGAGCTGCCCCCAGCCTGCAGACCCCAGGCCAGCCAAGGCAGGTGCCAGCGGGGCCCCCCCTGATCAATAAAAATCCCAGTGACCAAAACGGTGGAACAGTCAGAATGACCAGAGACCAGAATGAGCACGGCCTCTCACCCTGGCTGGCCCCGCCCCCCACGAACAGTTAGGGGCAACCAGGCAGGCAGGCGAGCAGTTAGGGGCCAGCAGTCCCAGATTGTGAGAGGCATGTCCGACTGCCAGTTTAGGCCCGATCCTCAAGGATCCCTGAGGGATTTGGCTTAAACCGGCAGTCAGACAGTCCCCAAGAGGTCCCAGATTGTGCGAGGGTGCAGGCCGGGCTGAGGTCCACCCCCCGTTCATGAATTTCATGCACTGGGCCTCTAGTAAAGATATAATTCAATATCTATCTGCCATTTCATATGATTTGTGCTGGAAAGAGGTATATATTTGAGCTCAGTCTGACTTCCTTGGTTCAGTCTCACAGCCTACTCTTGATTTTCCTTAGGTACCTATAGAAGAAAAGTTAGTAAAATGGATTGTCAGTCCTCATGACCTTTGCTCATAATATTCCTGTTAACTTGTTTTATATACTCAAAGAAAAAATATATGACAGTTAATTTCCATTTGCTTGAGAGTTCTCACTAATTTTATATTTAAGCGAGACTCAGAGACTAAAATGATATAAAACCTGCACTTGGAAAGGAGATTCCAGTTCACCTTCCAATATTCCCTGTCTTGATTAATACAAGTCAGAAACCTTAGGGATATTTACTTCTTTTCTCAGAGACATATTGACCAGAGGTGTCAGATTCTTCAGTGACTCTCTTAAAATCTTTCCTTCCTTTGGTGTTCTGATTTCCTACTCACTTACCGTAGCCTTTTCATATTCCTGCACTAGATCTCTCCTCTGCCTGTCCCTTAAGTACAAAAGGTCTATTCGTGGCCACCATCTGTTCTTAGTCTGTGTGCATACTCCTGGGGGTGGTGGGAGTCATCCATGATTTTAAAAGCCACCAGTATGTTGAAGACTTTTAATTCAACAGCTCCAGCCCAGACCCCTCTCCTGAAGTCCAGAATGTCAGCCTTTACAACCACCTGCTGGATTTCTCTAATGATATCACATAGCACCCAAACCTCAACATTCCAGAACTAAACTCAATATCCTCCCTTAAACTTACTCTTGCTTTTATCTTAGTTATTTTGACTAGTGTCGTCACCCATTTGTGAAATCATAGAACATACACAGAACCTATGTTACATCCATGACTTCTCCTCCAGACCCTAAGTACAACCAATTTCCAAATCTGTCTCTCACCAAATTCAACCTTTTCTATATCCTAAGCACCTTTGGACTCTATCTCCTTAGCTCCATTCATACTTTATTGTCTTACTAGAGGCCCAGTGCACGAAATCCATGCACTCAGGGAGGGGGTCCCCTCATCCTGGCCTGCGCCCTCTCGCAGTCTGGGAGCCCTCGGGGGATGTCCAACTGCCGTGGAGGTGGGAGAGGCTCCCGCCACCGCTGCTGCACTCGCCAGCCTTGAGCTCGGCTTCTGGCTGAGTGGTGCTCCCCCTGCGGGAGTGCATTGACGACCAGGGGGCAGCTCCTGCATTGAGCATCTGCCTTCTGATGGTCAGTGCACATCATAGCGATTGGTCGTTCTGCTGTTGGGCCATAACGAGTTCTCAGACATCCCCCCAAGGGGTCCCGGATTATGAGAGGGCGCAGGGCAGGCTGAGGGACCCCACCAGTGCACGATTGAGGCCAGGGAAGGATGGGAGGTTGGCCAGCTGGGGAGGGACTGCGGGAGGGCTCCAGGTGGTCAGTGCACATCATAGCGACTGGTTGACTGGTTGACAGTCTGCCCCCGGTTGTCAGTGCATGTCATAGTGAGGGGTTGAGTGGCCTTAGCATATCATTAGCATATTCCGCTTTGATTGGTTGAATGGCTGACCAGACAACCGGACACTTAGCATATTAGGCTTTTGTTATATAGGACTAGTGGCCTGGTGCACAAAATTCATGCACGAGGCTGGGGGTGTCCCTCAGCCCGGCCTGCACCCTCTCCAAACTGGGACCCCACAGAGATCGGGCCTAAACCGGCAGTCGGACATCCCTCTCGCAATCTGGGACCGCTGGTTCCTAACCACTCACCGGCCTGCCTGCCTGATTGCCCCTAACACTCTGCCTGCCGGCCTGCTCGCCCCCAACTTCCCCCTCCACCGGCCTTCTTGCCCCCAACTGCCCCCCCCCACTGGCCTGCTCACCCCCAACTGCCCTCCCCTCCTGGCCTGATCACCCCTAACTGCCTCTGCCTCAGCCCAGCCACCATGGCTTTGTCTGGAAGGACGTCTGGAAGGTCTCCTGGTCTAATTAGCATATTACCCTTTTATTAGTATAGATAATTGTTCACCTGAAACATTACAAGTAGCCTTGTAACTGCCCTTACTTCCCTCTAGTTCAGCTTTCCCACTCCTTGCAGAGAGACTTAAAAGTGAATATGATCACATTTCTTCCTAGCTTAGCTCTGTGCAGTTCGCAGATTCACCCACTGCTGACATGTTAAGATCCAGATTCCTTAGCAGGCTTTATGACATGAGCCTGCCATTTGTTTAATCTCATCTCTCAGCACTCTCCTCCTTGTGCTTTATATTCTAAAATCCTGAACTACTTACTTACACCTGAACTGAGTACAACGTGCTGTTTCAATATCACTTTACACAAAACTCTTTTTGTTCAGAATTATTTTCTTTTCTTTCTCTGCTTATCCAGATTCTGAATTCCTGTTCATCTTGTAAAAGTTAATTCAGATGTTACCATCTCTTATCCCTCCCCACCCCAATAATTAATTATTCACTTCCTCATTGGGCATTTTGTACAGGTCTTTATCATAAATCATGGAATTGTAACATGAATTCCATGATGAATGAGGCCATGTCTTCTTCATCTTTATATTCCTAGTGCTATAATAAAGTGCCTGACATATAATTACACATTTTAAACCTACTTTTTATTGTATACTATATAAAAATATCATATATTCATATATGCCTATACCTACATATGGATATATACATATATATTTGAAAAAATAGTTCTTATTAAAAAGCACTACATTTACCAAATCAGAAGTTCTATTGGAGAAATAACTTGGGAATTTCCCATATTATTAAAATTCTTTAATAATATTACTAATTATTCTTATTAATGTTGACTTCTAAGAAATAAAATGAAAATGAACAAATTCTTGTCTCTCTTCTGTTTTGTTTTTTTTAAAAACACTAGTTGTCTTGATTGCCCTACTTGGGTACATTATTAACGTCAAATCCTTGGCAGCCCCTCGAGAAAATTCATTCCTTTTGCTTACTCATGCTGCCAACAAACAAACACCTTTTTATTTTATTTTTTTAAAATATATTTTATAGATTTTTTTACAGAGAGGAAGGGAGAAGGATGGAGAGTTAGAAACATCGATGAGAGAGAAACATCAATCAGCTGCCTCCTGCACACCCCCAACTGGGGATGTGCCCGCAACCAAGGTACATGTCCTTGACCGGAATCGAACCTGGGACCCTTCAGTCCCCAGGCTGACGCTGTATCCACTGAGCCAAACCGGATAGGGCAAAAACACCTTTTTATATTTGAAAAATAACAATATATTAAAGAATATGATTTTCAAATATTTCATAAAACTAAAAGTTTTTTAAAAGCACTACATTTGAATTACAAAATAAACATAAAATTTAGACTAGCAAAAAAAGTACCCCAGTCTCACTCACTCATGTGCAACCACTATTAACTTTTCCATATAGAACCTTCTAATTCCTCTTCTATATGTATTTGTATACATACTTGACGTGAGCATGGTAGAAGGGAAGCACTCTAGCTAAGGATAAGGTCTTTTCTTGGCTCTATCTCTGTCCAAATAACAAGAGAAAATTATTTGAATCCTTTGTATGAAATAAACTTGGCCATTTTTATCTTGAACAGTGATGTAATATTCAAATGAGATAAGGAAAAAATATTCAAGTGAGATAAGGAGGTCTCTGGCATTTTCAAAATGTTGCATAATGTTATTTTTGACAGCAGTGCAGTCTTTCTGTATTTTAGTTGTAATTCCAGTTTGTTCCTGGGAGCATGTCCGTGCAGCATCCACTGACTGTGCCGCCATTTTTAATCTCATCTCCAGCAGTGCAGTCTGGAAGTTAAAGTATCTGTGGCAGAGCCATTATTGACAGCAGCCCAGATCTCAGGAGGAAATCTACTGAAGGTCACATTGGAGGCTGCCTACTCTGTGCCTGAATCCTTCGTGCCAGCAGGGCCTGTGCAGAACTACATGGTTGGTCTGCAAGTTCCATCAACTGGAGAGGTAAAGCCCTATAGCTACATATGTATATATATTTAAACACTCATATGGGCATCTCTTCTTCACCTGCTAAGATTTCATTCAAATCAAGCTCTGCTAATGGCTGAGATTTATTATAGGCTTAAAAAATAAAGTTTACTTCTGTTTTATAAATAGATGTTTATGTTTATAGTTTATATATTATATATAATACTAGAGGCCCAGTGCACGAAATTCGTGCACTGGGGATGGGTGGGGGGGGTCCCTTAGCCCAGCATGTGCCCTCTTGCAGTCTGAGACCCCTCCCTCCTTACTGCCCACCTGCTTGCTGCTTCCTACCGCTCGGCTTGCTGCTCCTTAGTGCTGCCACGAAGGCCTTGGGACTGCTGGGTGCCGGGCCTGCGGGTTTGTGTCTCTGATACCCCCAGCAGCCCCAGCACCTTGATGGTGGGGCTTGGGGCTGCTGGGTACAGGCCACCCGCTGCGTGTTTGTGTCTTCTATCAGGCCCCCAGCAGCCCCAGCAGCCCCAGCACCACCTAAATAACTTAAGGGAAACTTTATTTAGTCTTCTTTTAAAAGCAATCTAGTTTAAAAATGAGTTGCAGTTAAGACAGAACAAAGAACATGGTACCTAAAAGTGAGATAGACTGACAGAGGAGAGGCTGGGCACTGGTCAGGGGCTTACATGCCAACTGTTCTACACCTGGGAAATGATGTAAAATCGGTTTCTTTAGTTTTCTGCTTAATGGTCTTCTCCAGCACTGAGGTCAGAGGAGCCGCCTTCCAGCCCGTAGGCTGCTTCTCAGAGTCAAAAATTTCACCATAGGCCTCTGCCTAGGACAGGACCTCTGCACCCCCAGGGTGCATAAACACACAGGGCTTCCATCAGGCTCCGCTGATCACAGGCCAGGAGGCCTCTCGGCTCCGCTG